AAAATTATTAAGAAATACAAGTTTATCAACCAAATTAACTTTTTAAGCTGTAAAGTTAGAAAACCCAAGAACAGAGATAGGAGAAGAAATATTGAATTAGGGAAAAACTCATAGAAGATATTGAGAATTTTATGAAAAAAGGCGAATTTAGTACATTGTGTCCTGGAAAAAAGAATACAGTTACAAGAAATAAAATTAAAAAACAAAAGAAATACATTAATATAATGACTCGATTATTTAAACACGATATGAATAACGAAATATATTTATTAATGAAAACAATAACTCGAAGTGAACCCTTTCGAGACAAATTACAAACTAATATTTTATATTAACAAACAAAGCCATCGACAATAACGTAACCCTCTATGAATCAACTATGCGTCATTATCGACTACACGTTAAAGAATGTGTCTTCAAATAATACAGGGATGTTCCAAAGTTCGTAACAGTCGGCCATGCTACCCTCCTTTTCCGTCCCGGAAACTGCAGGAATCAAACTTTAAACCTAGAAAAATACAGTACGAATTACTTTCTCGTATGAATAGACCTCGAGTATTAAAGATAATCAAGTTGTAATTAAGACCGGGTGGGAAAACAGGATTCAAACGCTGGCCAGACGCCCAAATCCTCAATGCCACCCTAGCATTATCAACTTTATGGTAAGTATACAAAGTTATTTAGAAACCTAGTTGCTCACGTCGGCAACGTCCGGTTCTACATCTGAATTATCACTGCTCTCGTACGCAGGTTTAAAGCGCTTCATCTTGTCAGCTGACCAAACACCTTGATACCCTTTACGCGTACGTTTAGAACCTGGTAGATCTACAACTACATATCTATCATGGCCAAGAACGTCCTTGACTACATAGGGCCCTGAATATTTGGGTATCAACTTTTTACTCTTGCCGTCATTCGTAGCCTTCGTTCTACGCAACACAACTTGGTGAGGGATGTCAAGGGTCTTGCAACTTGAGCAAAATCCTTGACGTACTTCCTGCAATAACTGCATAAGCCAATGAATTGGCGGACATTGTGGACATTCTTGGGAACTGGGAACTGTTCAACCGCCTTGATTTTCGCAGTACCGGGCCGTGTGCCTTCGCTACTGATCTCGTGACCAAGGTAGTCGAGTTTAGTCTGGAAAAACTGACATTTATTAAGTCTTAAAGTAACGCCGGATGTTCTAAACGTTTCTAGAACATCTGCAAGTGCAATTAGACCGGTGTTTATACTTGTGGAAGGTACCAAAATATCGTCCATATATGCTAGTGCTGTGCTGAAACGCATGTTTCCCAAGATTTGGTTTATCGTCCTCTGGATGGGTGCCAGTGCGTTGACAAGACCAAAAGGCATCCTATGGTATTCATATTGGCCATCCGGGGTGACGAATGCTGTTTTATGGCGAGAGTCCTCTGCGATTAGTATTTGGTGGTACCCACTTGCCATGTCTAACGAAGTGAAATATTTACAGCCCTTCAGAACCTCCAGATGATCGTCTGCTCTTGGCATCGGGTAACTATCCTTGATTGTCTTAGCGTTCAGTGCACGGTAGTCTACGCATAGCCTGGTTTCACCGTTTTTCTTCTTGACTAGAATGATCGGGCTAGCATAAGGTGAATTCGATTCCTGGATAATGCCTGCTGCTGAGACACCGCCCATAATTTCTCGAACCTTCTCCCTTTCACTAAATGATAAACGGTAGGGTCTATATGTCACAGGCTTGTCGTCAGTTAGTCGTATTGTCATTTCAGTTCTGTTGATTTCACCTAGCTCGTAAATGTTTTGAGCAAAACAGTCACGATATTTGTTTAACAATAACAACAATTTATTAGCGTCTGGAACCAATATGTCGCTAGATATTTGAGATTTAACATCCGAAATAGTAAATTTTGGTAGGTCAACTACTCTAACTTTGTTAACACTCACCTGTGTATTTTGGCCTTCATCTGGAATGCATGGTACCCCTCGTACAACGGTATCATCAACGTCGTATTTAATCGGCTGGTCTGAGACTTTTAGAATTGGAACTCTTATCTCTTTAGTCGAAACAACACAGTTCGGGATAACGTATTCCCGGTGTGGCTGCCATGAATGATGCAAATCAACAAACACATCACCATCATACTTCCTGTCCATTGTACACTCTATGTAACCAACGTGATTTGGCTGAATAGTAGTTTTGTGTTTCGACTTTAGTGTGAGCTTTGCCGGTAGATCATCTAGTTGAGGTAGGTCTATCAGTTTAGATGTAAATAGTCGTGCGACGCCATTTTTCACCACCATTGTAGCATCTGGTTTATTTAGGATTGATCTTCCAACTAGTACGGGCATTTCTTGAATGTGATCCGGTACGATGTAAGCTTGGACAGAAGAATTAAATAAATCAACTTTCAATTGGATATCGGTACTACCCAGGATCTTCGAAACGCTACCACCGTACCCGTTCAGATAAGTGTCACTATCCGACCATTTTAATCCAGCTTTTAGAGCATCGCGTTCTCTTATAGCTACTATTTCGCATCCTGAATCAATGAAACCAGAAAGTTCATAACCGTTTATGGAGCAGTTAACGTAGTAATCAGATGCTTTACTGTTGCGTTCTGTGTCGCATACCAGGGTCGTGTGGTGTGCCCGTTGGCGGTTCGTAGATTTGTTTCTAAAGCATTTTTCGGCGGTATGTCCTAACTTCTTGCAAATTGTACACTCTATCCTAGGTTTAAGGCAACTTGTTTGCTTGTGTCCGAATTCTTGACAATTGTAACACATGCCTCTTTTGTATTTTCTTCTCGAATCTGGCACGTTACGGTTTTCTTTTACATTGTCGAATCTTCCAATTGGTCTTCTAACAGTATCTAGTCTTGATCGATCCTTGGTATTATCTAAAGTAGACAAATAATCTCGGAAAAGGTCTTCAGGTCTCGTGTATCTGCCAACCTTTGCTCCAGATTGTATAGTCCTATCCGGTATCCCGTCGATTATCATCGCCACCGCATTCTTTCCAGATTGTTGTTTGGCAAAATAATATTCAGTCCACGTTTCTTCAGGAGTTTTGGTGCGGGATATAAGGTTTCTTAATGCTGCTGGAAAGTCCTGATGGTCAGGAAAAGCGTTGGTGAGAAGCTGTTTCCATTCGGGCCAGGAATAGTTATACTTGTCGAGGTTATGATACCAGGTTTTCGCTAATCCCCCTAACCTCGTCTGCATGTGGTATACGGTCAACTTTTCGTCCCACTGGTTGATTTGGGCTAGTTGATCAATTTTCTCCAACCAACGTTTGCAGATTTTCATTTCTATTGGAAGGGTTGAATTCTGGTATGCAATTTGGGTTCACTGCCACTTTAGTAATATAGCGTTCAGAATCGTTTACAATTTGTTTACAAATTCTTCCAGTTGTTTTATTCTTTGCTATTGACGTATTGGTATTATCTACAACTCTGATTATAGGAGATGAGGGTGTATGCGTAACGTCTGCGATACCAGTCGAAGATATGCGACCCGGTGTAACGTCTACACGCGATGCATTTTCCCCACTGTCCCTTGTATTCGATTCTCCCTGTCGTGACGTAACGTTTACGTCATCACTAACCTCGCTTCTGTTAGAACGGTTTGTTTGCCTTTCACTTCCATGCTTACTACCCGATATAACTTCAACTGACCTTAAGTGCCGGTCCCGATGTTCTAGAACCCTCTTTGTAACGCTACTCACTTGGGGTCGATAATTTTTTTTCAGGAACTGTAACGTCTACAGCATCCTTGTTAGCTTTAGATTTATTTTTTATCGCTTCCCTTTGTGTCTTTGAACTATCTTTATGTCTATTTTTAATTTCTTGACTTACAGTTTTCCTTTGTCTTTTTCTATCTCTTTTATATCGTCCTGTCCAGTCGCTACTACTGCTTGAGCTTGATGAACTCGATGAACTTGATGAACTACTATGTCTTCGTTTCGATTTTCCCATTTTAAATCACCTTTTGTTTACGTAAATCACTGTTGTTTTAATTAACTCGTATAACTAGGTTTGTTAACAAAATACTAACTTCTAATTAACTTAATACACTACTATTTCACTATAACTAATTATTAATATTTGCATAAATACAACACTAAGTTTTTGTTTAAACAATGCACTATTATACTCTCCGGATTGAGCGTTTATAATCCCGCCGCTACACTATAATGACTCGATTATTTAAACACGATATGAATAATGAAATATATTTATTAATGAAAACAATAACTCGAAGTGAACCCTTTCGAGACAAATTACAAACTAATATTTTATAATAACAAACAAAGCCATCGACAATAACGTAACCCTCTATGAATCAACTATGCGTCATTATCGACTACACGTTAAAGAATGTGTCTTCAAATAATACAGGGATGTTCCAAAGTTCGTAACATTAATCAATCTTTAAAACAAACATACAAGGATTTTCGAAGCTAACACAATTATTTTTTAGGTTATTCTACATTTTGCAAGCTTCGTTCTTTTTGGGACTTGCGTATCGGGGACAACACTAATGATTTGTAATGCGCATGTCGTACGCGTTTTATTTGTACATCGGTCTCCTTTTGACAGAGTAGGTGAGCTGTGTCCAGGCCGTTGGTGTTTATGCCGGTTGGCGAAGCCGCCACCCTACGAGAAGTCGTTGCTTCGTCTTCTTGTTGTCGCGGCATTATTATTATTTGTTCATGTATGTGAAATCTGTTTCTAACGTTTATAAAATACTACTGCTAGTCACGGCGTAAATAAAAACAAACAAGACGCATTCACACAAACACCTCCCACCCCAGCAATATGATCAAAACTAATATTGTTCACGAGTTGATCAAAAGAGTCTGCTGCAATAAATTAGAGTTACAAGAAAAGTGTTTGATGCGGGTTTGTGTTAACTGCATTAACAAAAATGTAGAGGTTTCAGAGTTTGACCCACGCAAAACAATTATTTATGAAGAGTGGGTCTCCAAAGTAGAAACACTGAACGTAAAAGGCAGTATGAAAAAATGCAAAATAGTTTTAAAAGACAAAATTAGATGCTCAAAACTTGAATTATTAGTAAATGAATTCAATTTAATATTACCTAAATTGATGAAGCATATCGATAATCGTAATCATCAATATAAATCTTTAGATGACTTGAAACGAAATTTGAATGTGGGTGAAGTGGTAACACATGCGGATTTCTCTGAAAATTTTTTATGCAAGTATTCTTCAGAAATTCAGAGCGTGTATTTTGGAGGATCCAGAGTCCAACTTTTCCATCACAAAGCTGTTATCTATTATAAAAATATTGGTTCTGTGAATAGTACTCGTAATACTCTAAAAGTTAAATATTTTTGCATAATATCTGATACACTAAGTCATGACGCTGCAGCTATTATTATTCATTTAAGACCTATCTTAAGCATCATTTGTCAGAAAATTCCAAATTTATAGGCTGTACATTTTATAAGTGACAGCCCTACCCAATATCGGTACTGCAAAATGTTTCATATTATTGGAACAGATTTACATAATTATTTACCTTCAAGTTTTAAATTTATAATATGTAACTATACAGAAGCCGGTCATGGCAAAGGAGCGCTTGATGGCATTGGAGACACTGTGAAGAGAACGGCTGATAAAATAATTTCTACGAACAAAGATATTCCACATGTGAAAGCTTTTATGGAGTTAGTGCCGAGTAATCTGGAAAAATTATATATATATATATATATATATATATATATATATATATATATATATATATATATATATATATATATATATCCCCAGCCGAGATTGAAGAATATAACATTCCCAACAACATTCCAACATATAAGGGCACTTTGAAAGTTCGACAAGTTATCCGTAATCTGGCTGAACCTAACATGCTCCACTTTAGGAATGTAAGTTGCTACAAATGCAATCTAGGTAATAGATGCTTGAATTACCAATTGCCATCCTACCATTTAAAAGACTTGACAGAAGAACAAGGCGACTGTATCCTTTAATAAATGTTTTAACCTTTTAGTAACCAAATAAATTAATTGTTTTTTCTTAACCTTATCACAGCTTCTGGCTCTACTTTACATACACGAGTTCATTACCATGAGGTCTATTCTTTAGATTCAGAAATAGATTCCGTAAAATCGTCCATACCAAAAGAAAATGAAGAAAGTCCTCTGAGCCTTATACTGGTTGTACTAAGGAATCCATAAAATACTACGTCGATATTGTTCTAGATGTTACCGCTGATGTACAAGTACGGTTTATAAGAAGATGATACATATATTTTCACCTTTCCGGATATTGACGATCTTTCTGAAATAGACAGGTTCGATATAGAGTGTCAACTGCCTCAACCATCTTGCACTCAGCAACAAAATCTTACTGAAGCCTTTAACCGTTCTTTTTTTTGCGCCCTCAGCATAAAACATTGTTTAATTGTTTAATTTTCACTTGGCCTTCAGCTTAATGTATTTTTTTTTTTATTTTTAAATAAACTTTTGAATTTAATTCAAAACTTTTAATAAGCCTTTCCACTATCTAATTGTCAGGACTATATTTCTTTTCGTTTCATTAAATTATCCTTAGATATTTGTTTACTAATAAATCAATTTTTTTAATTTTTTTTCATATTTTTTTTTTTTTTAATAAAAATATTATGGCGCCCTATTGACGAGAAAAGATATATTCAAGTACCCAAAGGCCGTACCATGACCTGAGATTAGCTGGAGCATAATTCAAGGTGAAATCTTTAAAATATACATCTTTCTAGAAAACCTAATAACAAACTGTAGTCAATTGATGATATAGACTACGAAAACGTCAAGGGAACACTGCAGTGTTTGACAAGTGAGGAAATAACAAGAGCAATTAAACAAATTAAACCTACACTATATATTAATGAATTTCATATATCGATACCTGAAAGCAACAGTGAGATACCTAAATGCCAAAAAGTCGATTTCGGGCTAACTATGTCAAACGTGAACTAAAATCGACCTTAACTGAATGCAATACTGAGATATATCGGCAAAAATATTTAAAATACTAGAAAATCTGAAACTCAGTGTTACATTTTTATCTGTTTGTCTATTCTTTTATTGTAACACTGGGATTTTATAAATATCTCAGAGTTGCATTAATAATCCTACAACCGCTTGCATGCAACACTGAGTTAAATCACTGTTGCAATATAGCTGGCAACATTGTTAATTGGTTGACGCGCATTTTATCTCGTTTTAAGTATTCTAAATTCTAACCTAGCAGACAATGTTTGTTTTGTTTCTGTGAATGTTTCGGTGTTGATTTATAGTTAAATATAAATAAAAAAATATGAGTTTAAGGGCAAAACGAATTCGTGATATGGCTCTCGGTGAAACAGGTTAGTATAATATTTAGTTTATTAATAAATATTTTTAAAAATTAAGTTTTGTAGCTCCATTGACGGTAATGTAATTATCCATTTTTAGCAAAACAAAAAGTGAAAACTTATAAAAACAAAATGAAGGTGGTAGTAGCTTATTACAAGTTAATTACCAACAACCAGAAAACGAACTAGATACTTCCAACGTTGAATGTCCAACAATACAAAATAGTGCAATTCTAGAAACAAGTAACCTGCTATCAATAGATGGACACTCTTATTCAGCAGCACCAGTGAATGATATGATAAATTATAGATATGAATAGCATTAGTTCTGAAGTTTTATCTGGTAAGTTTGTTTAATAAGTTACTTTGTACTTAAATTGTACTTGTCAGCTTCTAATAATTTTCACTTACTTTATTTAGCTATTTTATTAGATACCTAGGGCTATAAGGCTATATAATGGAAGTAGTAATTGAGTTTAAAATTGTTTTAAAAGTTATTTTATTTTCAGCAGTACAACAATGTACAGAAAGTTTACGAGGGGACACTGACTTCTTACACTTAAATATACAGCCAGCAGTTGTGCAGGAATTAAACCATGAAACAATCACAAAATATGCAGCCCTTAAACGAAGAAAATCCTATCATACAGGTTAATATAAATAATATGGGGATGGAAATAATTTCTGATTGTTTTTCAGGTGGGTTAATTTTTTTTATTCCGTTTATATACTTTCTTTAAACCAATACTTATTAATGGTTATAATATGTATTATTTGCCACAAATATGTTTTTTACCATAAGAAAGTTGTGATAGACTATTAATTTTTGGTTCAATTTTAGCTGTAAAATATACACCAAGTGATCCTAAGGACGTTTTTCTGCTAAGTGAAGGTCATGCCATACATTTACAAAAATTACAGGATGAGAAGGGGATAGCATTATTACAGGAATTACAGGATGAAAAAGAGAAAGAATTATTACAAGAATTACAGGATGAAAATGGGAAAGAATTATTAAAAGAAATAGAACCTTCCAATGATGAAGACCCTGATTTTAACAAAGATGACGAAGACCCTGCTTTTAACCCTCACAGAGATTTTAGAAAATGTACGCATCTCACGCTTGGAAAAAGAAGGAGACAAAAACCAGTTTATGCTTGAAAAAGACGTATTACTAGCTACCTTTGATTTACAAGCAGTGATGCCACTTCCAGATGGAAATATTTCGACCTTTTTTTATAAAAGTAAATTGAACGCTTACAATTTCACTGTTTATAATGTTAAAAGTAAGGAGGGTATTTGTTATTTATGGAACGAGAGTATTGCCAAAAGAAGCGCCATTGAAATTGCAACCAGTGTTTATATCTTTTTGAAAGATTACTGTCAGGGTAAAAAGGAGGTAATATTTTACAGCGACAATTGTAACGCACAAAATAAAAATAAATTTATGTTTTGAATGTACTTATATGCTTTAAAAACATTAAACATTCAAACAATTACACATAAATACCTCATCGTTGGGCATACTGAAAATGAAGGAGACAGTGTTCATGCCTGCATTGAGAAGGAAAAGAAACGAATTCTTAAACAAGGGCCTATTTTTGTCCCATCAGAGTTAGCCATGATAATACGATGTGCCAAAAAAATGCTCCTTTGTATATTGTGAATGAAATGGAGACTGGGGATTTTATAGACTGGAAAAACGTATGTAATCAAACAGGAAAAAATTTTAATGTCAACAATGATGGCGAAAAATGCCTCTGGCAAAATGTAAAGATGATTCAAGTAACTATAAATGATCCAGACCTAATTAAATATAAGACATCTTACTCAGAAACACACTACAGCAAATTTATTAACGTCAAATATCGTATGAGAGGACGTAGGAGAACATGCGAGTCCATCGAATGGAAACCCGCGTATACTGAACCACCTCGAATACCAGCTAATAAGTTGAAAGATCTTATTTCATTATGTGAAAGTAAAACTATTCTCCAAAGGTATCACCATTTTTTTTTTTTTATTTAAAGGGACAGGAAACTGTTGACATTACAGAAGACGCTGAAGTAATGATAAGTATTTTTTTTTAATAAACATTTTTTTGCTTTGAATTCTATTATTAATTTAACTGAGACAAACCTAAATATGAATACTTATATTTAAAGCAATAGTGAGATATCTCACATAAAAAAAAGAGCCTAAGAGCAATACTGAGATATCTTTGATTTTTCTTTAAATATTTAATATTAAGTGTCAAAAACAATTTCACTAATCTTTACTTAAAGCTTACCAACTTTCTCTATCAAAAAATCACTTGAGTTGAAATAAAATCACCCCATAAATATTTAATTACCTCTATTGCAAATAAAAATGCGATTATCTTAAAACAATGAATTTAGCATTATCTCACTGTTGCTCTCAGGTATCGATATGGCAGTCTTCCCAATATATTTGCCAAATCATTCTGACAGAAAGTATGATAAAACAGAATAAAGGTAAAAATTAATTCTCTTTAAAACTGATTAGTTTTGTAAAGTTTTTATGTTTATCCGACTTAATATCATAATCATAAAAAATATTTAAAAATGGTTTAATAAAATTCTTAATATGCTCTTGCGGACTTTGACTTAAGTTCAATTAGTTTTAAAATAGTTTTAAGAATGCCCCTAAGAACAGTTATAGGATTCTCCCTTTTACTCTCAAAGCAGTTTTATAGCAGCCCTAAGGCTATTTCGCGGACCCAAAAGTTTTATCGGTATCTTAAAAAAGGGTTTTATGGTCATCTTGAATACTTTAATAAATCTAGAAATGTTATTTGGGTATATATTGTAATGGAATAACCAAATTTTAATTCTTAAGTTAGGACACACTGTATACTAGGACAGCTAGTATGAGGATTTTATGAACAATGTGAAACATAACTGTCAAAATCAATAACAAATAAGTTATAAATTAACACTATAAAAATAATTAATTTCACAGGAGTTATTTTGAAATATAATATTGAAAATTCCACACCTGTAATTTTGAACCAATCAAAATACGTGTTTTTGACAGATCACCATGGCAACGGAGGTATTTTAGTGGAAATTTTTTTCTCGTGGGGTACCCAACAGCGAATTATACTGGAAATTTTTTGACGTTTACAATAACAGACCATTTTTGACCGACTGGTTTTTATTTGTTCACATAATAGGTTTAGTTTTGATACATTTTAGTTACAATGCTAAGGTGTTTTCTATATTCTTCGGCCACTTCTTTTCTTCTTAATGGCGAAAATGCAGGACTTTGGATGCTTTGAATTATGTGTCTATGTCTTATAAAATATATATAATATTTAGACACTAATTTATTCACCTTTTTCCCATTCAGCACTTTGAATTTTGCGTAGTTTAGGTGCAAATATTCGTGGACAATTCGGAACAAATTTTCGTTTTTCAAGTTGGAGCCACAATCCTCTATTAATCCGAGTAAGTAAGTCATGGTGCAATGATTGATCATTACATCAGACAATTTCACGCATATTTTGCATAGCGTATGATTTTCAAATCGATTCATTTTTAAACAAATAGGTAATTTTGTTGGTTTTACTTGCTGTGCAATATTCTTTATCGCAACAAAACGCGAGTTATTTAA